CTCATTCTCGGCGGCCTCGGCATTCTCAAGTGGCTGGGCCGTGGCGTTCTTCAAGCAGCAGTGGCGTTCTCAAGCCACAGCGTTCTCCGGTGGCCTCGGCGTTCTCAAGTGGCTGGGTCGTGACGTTCTCAGCGGCCGCGGCATTCTCGGCGGCCTCAGTGATCACAGCAATAGCTTCAGCGAGGTCTCCTGAACAGCTGGGTCATGGAGTCTTCAAGCGGCGTCGGCGTCGGCGTCTTTCGTGCCCGGCAGCTCTGGAGAGCAATATCTCTCCAATTCACTGCCGGCACCAGCGCTCTTAGAATTGTTCATCCTCAACCTCCACCGTGGCAGAGTAGCCACAGAATACACAACCTCTATCCTGCCCTTATCAGAGTGACCAATATCATGTCTATTCCATATCAGGACCTGAATCTTGATTGAAAAGAATCCAGACAATCTGTTTCTTCCAAGGCCCTCTGAAGTGCCTCCACAATTACATTTTCAACCAATTTCTCTTACAAAGTTGGTTAGATACTGGAAAATTGATCATATGATGGGGTCCAACAATGTTTTCTTGAGAAAGGGGTGAATCAAAGCACTTTTGTCTGCACTTTTTCTAAGTCTCAACATCTTTTTAGCAACAAAAACTGGACACTCTTCCAAATATGGTCTTACCAATACAGTATAAAGTAGCACTACTAGCACTTCATGTGATCTTGATATTATCCCTGTGTTAATGCAGCCTAGGACACCATTGGCTGTTTTGGCAGCTCCAGCACGCTGCAGCATACTGCTGGATTATACTTTATCTGTGGCCCACCTAGATCTCTTCCACAGTTACTGCTGTTGAGAAAGATACCTCCTATTCTTTGCCTATGCATTTGGTTTTACCTGCCTAAATACTGGACCTTAATTTTCTCCCCACTGAAGAAAAACGAATAACCACAATATCTACTACTGAATAACCGCAGCATATCTGTAATCTGCTAATGCAGTCAATTTGTCAAAGAGTAAGGCAAAAGGGTTTGCTTGGCTTGATCTTTAAAAATCAACAACCAACAAACCTCACACTGGCTTCCAGTAATCACTGTCTTCATTTCTAATGATCACAACTAAAGTCAAACAGAATCTTAAATAATCACAGAATCTTAAAATTCTGTGGCAATGCCCCTCTCTGTTACACAGAGTTTGTTCTGTCTGTCTTCTCTGTCTCCCTCCCTCTCCCCCCCTCTCTCTCTATACACAAACACAAAATTACTAAGGATTGTTGTTGTTGCTGCTGTTGCTAATTGTGCAGTCATGTCCAACCCATCACGATCCCATGGACAATGTTCNGATATCCAGACTGGAATTTTTAAATAATGTAGCCTCTTAACCTTCTCCCAGTTTAATAACAAAGCCTCTCTTATTTGGTGCCTTCTAAAATAACCATGTGCTTTAGTTCCCTTATACCATAAAAAAGCGTGCCATTGCAACAGCAAGTCGTGTCCCTCTAGGTTCAAGAGCCTACTATTTCTTAACATTATCCATTCCTTGATCCACGTCAGACTAGCTGCCTGGTAGTATAGCTCCCAGTCAGGTAAAATATATTACATGTTGATGGGTGACTATTCTTTGCCTCTGGTTTTAGATACTGTATTTTTTGGAGTATAAGATGCACCGGAGTATAAGACGCACCAAGGTTTTGAAGAGGCAAATTAAAAAAAAAGTAGGTAGGTAGAGAGAGGGATAGAGAGAGAAATACAGTAGGTAGGTAGGGATAGAGAGTGAGTAGGTAGGTAGATAGATAGAGGGAGATAGAGAGAGAGAGAAATACAGTAGGTAGGTAGGGAGAGAGAGAGGGTAGGTAGGTAGGTAGGTAGATAGAGGGATAGAGAGAGAGAGAGAGAAATACAGAAAGTAGGTAGGGAGTAGGTAGGTAAGTAGGTAGATAGAGGGATAGAGAGAGAAATACAATAGGTAGGTACAGGGATAGAGAGAGAGAGAAAAAAAAATACAGTAGGTAGGTAGGGAGAGAGAGAGAGTAGGTAAATATGTAGGTAGATGTTTCCAGGTGTATTTATCCATGTGCTGGAGAAAGAAATTGCTGACAACCTGCAGCACCTAAGACTTGTTTCTGCTGGGACAGCACTTGACCAATGTAATTCTCATCAATCACTCTAGCTAAAAAGTTTTCTGAAAGGGAAAAAAAAGTTTTGTACTCTGCAAACCTCCCCAAAATGGCCCATTTTTACAAAAATGGACCCGTTTTTTCCAAATAAAAGGCATGAATAGCCTTGGGGGGGGGGGCTTGCAGAGTGCTTGGGGGGGGGCAAAAAAGTGGCAGTTTTTCATCAAAAAAATTGCATGCATAGCCTTATGGAGGCTTATAGAGTGCTGTTGGGGATTGGGGGGAGCTGTCTGAAAGCCTCCATAAGGATATGCACAGCCATTTTGGTGAAGGGGCGGGGCTTCAGGAGGCAAATAATGCTGTATTCGATGTATAAGATGCACCCAGATTTTCAGCCTCTTTTTNCAACATTCATACTATTTTGTTATAGCAGATTTGCTACTCTTAAAAAAAGCAACCAAAGATACAGAGGCTATGGTTGCAATCCAATACATATATACATATACATATACAAGGGCAGAGGCTAGAAGGGCCCAGAAGAAGAAAGGTTAACGTGAAGAAGTCCCCCCGATCCAGCCTGTGCATGGAAATCTCAGTCCAGGCGAAAGCAAGAAAAGAGTTCACCTCTGCATGCAGTCCTGAGGATGCCGGCATTGCAGACTCTCTGGGCTGCGACAACCACGGCGGCCACCATGTTTCCAAAGGACTCGGGCAGCTCCCGTAGTTCTTGCGGAGAGAGACCTTGTTCCAGATCTCACATTTGAGCGCGTAAAAGTATGAGTTCGGTTTTTCAGTAAATCCGATGAAATTAATCAGAATGGCAGGTACTGTTGATGGCAGCTTCTTCTCTCGGAGGAGCTATCGTTGAGACGCAGTGGCCTTTCAGCTCCGACGGTCCTTGGATGAAGCGGATTATCTAGATCCTTTTCAGTTGGGTTTCAAGCCTGGTTACTCCACCGAAACTGCTTTGGTTGCGCTGACCGATGATCTCTGGCGGGCCAGGGATAGAGGATATTCCTCTATCCTGGTGCTTCTTGACATCTCAGCGGCCTTCGATACCATCGACCATGGTATCCTTCTGCGATGATTGGGAGAGGTGGGAGTGGGAGGCACCATGTTATGGTGGTTCTCCTCTTACCTCTCGGATAGGTCACAGTCGGTGTTGGTTGGAGGACATAGGTCGACCCCTAGGCCCCTTAAATATGGGGTGCCTCAGGGCTCGGTCCTGTCCCCCCTCCTATTTAACATCTACATGAAGCCGCTGGGTAAGATCATTTGTCAGCACGGGATCAAATATCATCAATACGTGGACGATACCCAGTTGTATCTGTCCACCCCATGCCACTCAGCAAAGCGGTAGAAGTGATGTGCTGGAGGCCGTCAGGGTCTGGATGGGAGTAAACAAGCTGGCACTCAATCCAGACAAGACCGAGTGCCTATTGATGTTGCCTCCCAAGAATGGACCAGATATTCCATCGCTTACCCTGGGGGATGAAACTCTTCACCCCTCAGAGAGGGTCTGCAACTTGGGTGTCCTCCTGGATTCTCAGCTGACATTAGAATACCACCTGTAGGCTGTGACCAGGGGGGCTTTTGCCCAGGTTCACCTGGTGCACCAGTTGCGGCCCTACCTGGACCAGGAGGTACTTCAAATGGTCACTCATGCTCTTGTCACCTCTAGGCTTGATTACTGTAATGCGCTTTACTTGGGGCTGCCCCTGAAGAGTGTATGGAGACTACAATTGGTCCAGAATGCGGCCACGCGAGCGATATCAGGTGTACCTAGGTACACCCATGTTACACCTATCCTCCGCGAGCTGCACTGGCTTCCCATCGGTCTCCGAGTGCGATTCAAGGTGCTGGTCGTTACCTTTAAAGCCCTACATGGCTTGGGACCTGGATATCTGGGGGACCGCCTCCTGCCACATACCTCCCAATGACCTATAAGATCTCACAGGCTTTTATTATTTTATTTTATTTTATTTTATTTTTTATTTTATTTTATTTTATTTGGAAAATTTATATTGCTGCCTACTTGTTCACAGTGACTCAAGTCTGCTTACAGGAAATAAAAACACAATAGGAAAAACTAAAAATAATTAAAAGTGATAAAATAATAACCCCCCACTTTCCCACCAGATGACCACACACATTCATACCAGCCATTTAGTGGGCTCCATTCCATTCTGGAAAAATAGATGACCAAGGACTAATTGTTATTCATACAACTATTACCTAGTTTTATGAGAAAGATTAAAAAGATAAAAATATCAAGTTTGATTTAGTTAATTATTATACCATCCAGCCCTCAATTAATTTGGTTCTTAAAATCATTTGTTAATATTTTGCTGAAATCAAATCATATCACCACCTCTCTCATAATCTATTAAGGAAGCGAAATGATTCGTGAGAATAATATTTGGGAAAGGGAGAAGATAACCTTCCCAGGGAATGATCAGATCAACTCAGAAAAGGTCCTTCCTAACTTTTCAGGCTGAAAAATGAATTAGTGGGAGATTTGTATTTTTGCAATATTTTCTTGATAGCACTCCAATGAACTAGAATTAGCTCATGTGGTCATATTTCCTGTCTGGTCTACCTGGGAGCAGATTAGCTAGGAAGCTTTCATTTTGAAAAATCCATGCTGCCTGGTAATCATCCTCTTGTTTTCCAGGAATGTCTGGATAATATATTTTTTGTTGTTGTTTAATTTATTTGATACCTGCTCTAGGATTTTTCCTATAATTGATCAAATGTGTCTATTATATTTTCTCAATACATATTTTGTCAATATATGATTGAAAAATTTTGCTGAGCCTTTTTTGTTCACTTATAAACTTAATGGAACTAAGAAATAAGGAACAAAGAAAGATTTATTGTATATAATTCCTGGATGTTTCCTTTCTAGTTCCATCCCTTTCTGGAGAAGAATGAGTTCTATAATCTTTCCCACTGGAAACTTTACCTGGACCAAAATGGAGAAGTAACTGCAGACATGGACATTGAGTTCTTGGTGGCTTCAGGACATTTGACCAAAAGGAACCTGGGGAGTATTGAAAGACAGAGACTTACTATCAACCAGAGTTCTGTTTCATGGCTAAAGTTGATTAAAAGAGTGGGTATATGTCCTTCAGATGCTTCATATTCTCCTATTGTCTACAATATGGAAGACTGTCTTAAACTGATTCAGTCATGTCCAGCATTGGATCTGCCTGATTATTCTTTAGGATACAGACAATAGTTCATTTGTATCACTCCTATGATTTAGATTCTGCTTCAGACTGGTGAGAAACTCTCTATATAGTCCAGACACCTTTTCTTTGGCATTCCTTGTTTTTCTCTTTAGCCTCTTCCTCAGTCCCAATGTGTGGAAAATTGTCATCCTGGATTTGTCAAGAGGAAACGAGAAGGAGAGCCAGTTTGCTGCTATGACTGCATTCCTTGTCCAGAGGGGACCATCTCTACTCAGGAAGGTAGGTGAGATCCAAGAAAAGGACAGGTTGGTGGGATTCATCCAGACCATTTTTATGAAAGTCAATGTTAAATGATGTGTTGAAATTCAAAGGTTTTCTTGCTTATTTTCAAACTGAACAATTTTTTATCTAAAGGGAGAAATAACAAAAACACCTTGAAGGAGGGACTGGATAGAGATAGGAGTGTATGGCACTTTGTGCCAGAGAAAATATATCTTCTGGTTTTTATTCTGGATGTCTCCTTCCACATTTATCTTTCTATGAATATCTGAGTTTTTTTAAAACTGGAGGAACCATCTTAGGTCCACATCCTGGAAGGATTATTGCAATGTACTTTGCATTGGCTTCCCCTGGTAGATCATTAGATGTTGTTGCTGGGTCACAATGTTGTGCTGTGGACAGGTATGTGTACATCTTATTACAACCATATCATCACTGGTCCTGGTAGCTATGCCAGATGGTTAAAGAATTAGTTTTCTCTATTAGTCAACTAGATTTCATAGGATTGGCATTCTTTGAGTCCAGTACATTAAATTTAGGGTTTTTGCCTAGAAGATTAACTAATTCATAATTTAATTCTAATAATGGAGATATTATTATATCCTATGAAAGTTCTGCACATTACATAGGAAATCCTTCAGGTTCAAGGGCTTCCCTTAATTTCATAAGATATTAGAAACATGGTTATTTTTTAAAAAAAATATTTTTCCTATCTTCTTTGTCTGGAGACCTTAAGAAATTAATCTTGGAAAATGCTCCTGGTATCAATTGATGTTCTTGAAAGGTGAAAGGATAAAATATTAAATATTTCTATTTTTTTCAGATACAGAAAAATGCACCAGGTGTCCGGATGATAAATACCCAAATGAGGATCGAATCCAATGTATCCCCAAAGGTGTAACCTTTCTGTCTTATGAAGAAGATCTGGGCATCATCCTGATCTCTTTTGCCCTACTCTTGTTCCTAACCACAGTCCTTGTTTTACTCATATTCCTTAAATACAGAGAAACTCCCATTGTCAAAGCCAACAACCGAGACCTTTCTTACATCCTCCTGGTCTCCCTCCTGCTTTGTTTCTTGTCTCCTTTTCTCTTCATTGGTCAACCAAGGAAAGCCTCCTGCCTTCTCCGACAAACTATTTTCAGCATCACCTTCTCAGTTGCCATTTCTTCTCTCTTGTCCAAAACAATCACAGTGGTGCTGGCTTTCCTGGCCACAAAACCAGGAAACCGAGTGAAGAAATGGTTGAGGAAGAGCTTGGCCAACTCCTTCATCCTTTCTTCTTCTATTGTCCAAATTATCATCTGCTCCATCTGGCTAGGAGTTTCTTCTCCATTCCCTGACTCTGACTTCCACTCTCAACCTGGAGTGATCATCCTGCAATGCAATGAAGGATCTGTTGTCATGTTCTACATCACCCTCAGCTACATGGGCTTCCTGTCTGCCATCTGCTTCACAGTGGCTTTCCTGGCCAGGAATCTCCCTGGGGCCTTCAATGAAGCCAAGCTGATCACCTTCACCATGCTGGTCTTCTGCAGCGTCTGGGTGTCCTTCCTGCCCACCTACCTGAGCACCAAAGGGAAATACATGGTAGCTGTTCAGGTCTTCTCCATCTTGTCCTCTAGTGCTGGTCTACTGGGGTGCATTTTCATCCCCAAGTGCTACATTATCATTCTGAGACCAGACCTTAATACAAAGGAGCAGATTACAACCAGAAGAAATGTAGAAATGTGAGACAGAGGAATGTTAACTTTCAACATGTTCCAAAAGACCCAAGCTAGAAAATGGTACAAGTTATTTTCCATGGATGACTAGAGCAAAGTTTTTGCTTCCCTTCATTAAAGGGTGACTATAGCATTGTGAGGAAAGCAAGTTTTTGGAGCAGTGGGAAAGTTTCAACCTGCTAGAAATTCAGAAGAATTGTATGTGGCAACCACGACACTCTTGCTTCTCAATACATTTTACCAAAACTGCTATGGCAATGCAACAGATTTGTTTGTTTTTATTTAGACAATGAGTCTGTATTGAGTTTAGTAATAGTAGATTGGTGGGAAAATAACTCAAGGCTTATTCATTATTAATATTCATTCTTATATCAGGTATTAAATATGCATTTTCCCTATTATTATTTTATCCTCCTTTCTTGAAATGTAGAAATACAAGTGCTTCCTTTTGTCTGTAGGACTTTGTCCCACTATTTTCTGGAGGGAAATTCCACGACATAAATATGCAGGGGATGACCAGGCTGAGTCTGATGGTCAAATGGGTCATCCATCATGAGGTCCCTTTGCACCCACAAGAGATCCAGCCCATCTCGAATTCTTTTCTATTCTTAATTCCTGCTAATTTCTTTTGATCATTAGTAGTTCAGATTAAGATTAAGATTAAGATTTAGTTTATTTGTATGCCGCCCATCTCCGGGAGGGACTCAGGGCGGCGAACAACTCAAAGGGGGAAAANAACAGCATAATGAAATAAGAGAAAGTGTGGCAGGTCAAAGATCCTAAAAGGGATATAACTGCAGGCCTGACATCTTCCTCAGTTACAACTGGAGAAGAAGGTAGAAAGAGTGTTAAACACAAAGAATCTGATATATAGAAGCAGAGAAATATGTAGCAATCTTCAAAACTTAAATAATATATGGTCCTTCATTGGAACAATATACTAACATCTTTATTATGATTATGATTATGATTTCTTTGTTGCTTTGCGTATACACTGGGAGTTTCTGCACTGGAGACAAATTCCTTGTGTGACTAATTGTCCAAATAAAATATCCATTCATTCATCTGCATATGTGAATCTAATTGTGATAAACTGTAGGGGTGATAGAGAAATATGATTTTCAAAAAACTATTCTAATATGTTCATTAAAACCAATCATATTTTGTACTTGATCTGATCCCCAAATATAAATATAATACAGAATTTTTAATTGCTTTTTCAGATCAGGGACAGAGTTGCTTCAGAGGCTCTGAGTGATAAAAGCAAATTCCCTTTTTTCCACCGGATCCTCCCCAAAGAAGGGTTTCAGTACCCAGCAATCATCCAACTGCTCCTCCATTTCAGATGGACCTTGATTGGTCTCCTTGCTTCAGAAACAGAGGCTGGAGAGAATTTCATGAGGACTTTTACTCCTATGCTTGTCAGGAATGGAATTTGTGTTGTTATATCAAAATTATTCCCACTGCGTTATCATACATCAATCCTCAGGGAAGCCAGCTCTAAGTGGAAACAAGTCAATGTCTTTGTTCACTTCGTAGAATATATTGTACTTTACTACATATTTTATTCTTTCCAACTATCACTTCAAGTTTTGCCAAGACCCATTGAAAAGAAAGTCTGGATCACCACAACTTTGGGAAAATATTTGTTGCTTCATTATGGATTGCTCGGATACATTCATAGTATTTGGAACTTTGATTTTCTGCAAAATATAAAGCCAAATTATGGTGATTTTGAATCCCATCCCTCTATAGATATCCAGTTTGAACAACATAATTTTTACTGTCATTTTTCAAGGCATGTCTTTTCTGCCAAGGTCCGGAGAAGGTGCATCCAGAAAGGTAGAGTGGAGACCAAAGAGAAATGGGACAGTGATTCTGTTTACTTTACCTTTATGACTCTGGTCCATGCCTTGAAAGCTGCATATTCTGCCAGATCCTGGAGGAGATGGAAGGAGGCCCACAGGACATTGAGTCTTCCAAGGCTACAGCCCTGGCAGGTATGGAGTCTCAAGAAGAAACCAAAAAGCTAAGTTCCTTTAAAGAAGGAATTCATAAGAGAAGGGAAAAGGGCATCAGATTTGGCTAATCTAGTTGCTTGGGAAATAATTTACCAATGAATTGGCAACAGATACTGTGTATTTTGATATTAACAATGCTATTTTTTTTGTATTTTTAAAGAGATTGCTATATGAATGGTTTGTGATTAGCACTGCACATTTTTACTTTTATACATTTGAAGGAGAACCTAAGTCCATTTTTTGACCTGAGCCTCAGCTGGGTTCTGTTTTTCCAGTTTATTTAGTGTAGGATGAGAACATGACAGTGTCAGCATTCCAAATACCATGCAGAATTAAATCAGAGTTGAAGGCAAAACTATCCTTAAAATTCCAATTTTAAGTCCAAGGGGGTTAAACACATGGCCCACAGTCCTACCAAGGGGGAGACAGAAGAGAAGTAAACATCAACACACTATCCAGATAATTATACGTTCAGAGGGTATGATAGTGGCCTCATGACTGGACATCCAGTTCAGCTATCTGGCCCATCGCCTCTGACGTTGCCTCGTGCAGCTCTTCTAGGGAACCAGAGAATGCAAGACATGGGCAATCTTGCGCAATATAGCAATAGCAATAGCACTTATATACGGCTTTATAGCCCTCTCTAAGCAGTTTACAGAGCCAGCCTATTGCCCCCAGCAACCTGAGTCCACATTTTACCAACCTCAGAAGGATGGAAGGCTGAGTCAACCTTGAGCCTGGTGAGATTTGATCTGCCAAATTGCAGGCATCCAGCAGTCAGCAGAAGTAGCTTGCAGTGCTGCATTCTTATCACTTTACCACATATGTCTGATTGTTTGCACATCAGCACCACAATTGCAACAAGGGGAATCTTTCTATCCTCATTGAGAGAGGGCACTTCTTCCAGTATCACACCTAATTCTGTTCAATTTTCTTCAGACAGAGTCAAAATCAGGTGGCTTGGTAGAGGGATCATTGATGGCCAGGCCAGAAGAAGGTACCTTTGACCATTCCTCTCTCTGGGCATTCCTTGGATTAAACTAGGTAGATGTTAATAGCAATAGCAATAGCAGTTAGACTTATATACCGCTTAATAGGGCTTTCAGCCCTCTCTAAGCAGTTTACAGAGTCAGCATATCG